ACGGCAAGTCCTAGCGTATGTCGGAGGGCTTGAAGAACCGCGAGCCTCAGCTCTACCCGCGGTCTGAATCGGCCCTCCCAAGGGGCCCGTACATGGCTCTGACGGGCATCCCATTGTCACCCAACTGGACCACTGACCACCCGCAACGACGTAGTTCTGGCCAGCTTGGGGCCATGCCCGATCCATCAGTATAACACGCACTGCTCCAGGAACTCGAATCCGAACTCCAGCCGCCCCAGAATCCAAGTCCAGCTTGTCAACTACATAAGGAGGCACAAGGGGGCTCAGGGGCATACCCACGGAAGTCTCGAAATAGTCCTAATCCTGCTGCCCTGCACCTGGCTGACCTTTACTCGTAAGATAGGACCGAACATACTCGAGCTCTGGATCCCAACAGAGATCAGGCTCATCAGGCACATCATTGTGAAAGCCAGGGCGCTCATAAAACTCATGCCCAACAGTGGCCTTGTCTGCTGCACACCAGAAGCACAGAGGGTGGCATACGGTAGCCAGCAGCGCGCGCAAGACGGTCGCGAGACCACAATGCATCTGACCAAAGAGAACGAAGGGCACCAGCGAAACGCGCATTCTTGATCGCCGCCTTCCCTCCTCCGATACACTTCCTCAGCATCCTCGTCCAGGTAATCCCCCACCTACATACATCCTTGTGGTGTTCAAAAATCCGAACTGCCTGCCAGCGCTCGATGCCCCGGCGAACAAGCTCCACGACCGATCGTGGAGGAAGGCGAAGGAGGTCAAAATGGTGGCCAAGGTCGCTGGCCAACACCGTGCTCGCATGCATATTCCATCCTATTCTTGCGAGAGATAAACGAAGCACGGCAATCGGACCGTTTGCTGTCGCCCAGGATCGCTTGCTAATATGAGACTCTCGAACCCTCTGCCAAGCCCTCAGTAGCATCCCCAGAGATCCTCTGATCCCAGATGAACGACGAATAAGCCTTGAGCGGATCAAGCGTCGCATCGTAGATCGGGTCATACTTGGCGTCAGCCCGAGTAACAAGAACGAGCGTGAGGGAGGACGACTTGCTGGTACGACCAGCCAACATAGCAGCCGTCTGTCTGAGCTTGGTCAGCTCATTGCCATTCACGCCTGAAACGGTCGCTCCATGAGCGGCAGCTGGCGTCACACCTGTTCTCCAAAACGTGGTAACCCTATGGCTGGCACCACGTAGCATTCTGAGTCTAGGAAGCCTTTCATCTAGCTGCTTCAGCTTGGCTTTGGCTTGCTTCCTTATAGGCTTGGGCCCACTAAGCTCATGCCCAAGGTTCCGAACCCAAGACTTGGCTTTCAGGCTGATGTTCTGAGCAAATCTTCCGAAGCGAAGCCTAGCCGATGCAGCAGTGGCTACCCACCCAGACTTCTTCACCTGGAGTAAGAGACCCAGCCTGGACGTGTCCTTGACGAAGCTCTGGACCCCCTTGAACAGCTCCATGGCCGTATCCCCTTTGGGCCAAACCCACTGAAACGTCGAGTCAACAACCAGGGCTCGAGTAGGAGGAGGAGGAGGAGGAGGAGGAGGAGGAGGAGGAGGAGGAGGAGGAGGAGGAGGAGGAGGGGGAGGAGGAGGGGGAGGAGAAGAAGGAGTCCGTAGCCATTCTGGCTCATGCCATTTGCCATCTTGGCTCAAGTGAAAATCTGACGAGGTTGCGCAGGGCTCTCAAACATTTTTCTGCCACATGTGACGGCCAGGTTCTGCATATATATATATATATTTATTTATCGGAAGTCATTTCTCATTCAGGTAGTTTTCGGGTCCCCCGCAGTCTCAGCCATGGTGTGCGAATAGGGCATCCCCGGGTGGAATTTTCCGTGCGGCCGATCTGTCAAGCACCATGCGAAGTGTTTACATGGATTACAGTATCGCGATCTCGGCTGGCAAGAGGGAGGGATGCTACCAGGTCAGATGCAGCAGGGAGGCGGGCGAGCACCACACCTGGTGCAGACATCCATGCGCCGCCAGCGGGTGTTGTTCATGTTTCTCCTCCGCCTCCTGCCATGGGGTTTCCTGCACCGAGTGCTCCAGCGGATTGGATCATACCAGCGCCAGATGTCACCATCGACTATACCGCAAGGACAGCGGACGCCTACCGAGAAGGCGCCGGGCCGGCTGTCACCGCCGTCGCTTGCCATGGGATGCGACACTCCAGGCAGAGTCGTGAACATGTCACAGACAGAGCAGGTGCCAGCAGGAGGAGTGCCATCACCTACCAGTCCAGCGGGTACGCAGCGGGAGGAGATACCAATCCCGTCGTCGGCACCAGCATGCGCTTCGCCAATGCAGCCGACGAGTTCGCAGAAGGGAGGTCGTCGCTGCTATAGATCCGTAATTCTCAGCAACCTTTTCCGACGACGAGGCCGAGTGCGGTCGAGGTTGCAGCAGCAATGGAGCAGCCAGTCGAGTTCGAGGTCAGGCCGCCGCCTCGGAAAGAGCCGATAACCCTTGCATAACCCTCGACGCCAACCGAGGCGAAGGCGTATCTGGCTTTCAGTATGGCACGCGTGCTTGTGACGAGCTTTGTGCAGCGGGGATGCTGCAGCATAGCGCACAGGCGAGGTGCGACTTTTTAGCGCCAATGTTTTCAAGGTTGCCCGTTAGTTACCTGCTTTGGGAGTCTGATGGCTAATTTTAGATTCCATCTTTACTGCACAAGTTCTAATGTGGCTGGCCAAGATTGGGTCCAGTCAGATGATATACTGCGATGGGGGCGGCTCACGGTGCAGGGGGGAGGGGTTCTGCAAGCGACGGTGCTCCCGAAGGTAGGCCGGGGCATTCAGGCGTGGCAGAGGCTCGGCTCGCGAGCAAAATCATGTCGCATATTCTTTCTGGTAGGGCGCGTCCATGGGCTGGAGGAAGAGGAGGAGGAGGGCGAGGACGAGGAGGAGGAGGAGGAGGAAGATGAGGATGCGAAGGAGAAGGAGGAACGGGAGGAGGAAGACGAGCTGGAAAATTAGGGGGAGGATGAGGATGAGGAGGAGGAGGGGGAGGAAGAGGAGGATGAGGAAGAGGAGGAGGAGGAGGAAAAGGATGAAGGATGAGTTGGATGGGAATGAAGATGAGGACCAGCGCGATCCCACGACTCATCAACGATGTCGCAATGAACCCTTTTTCGAGAAGGCACCGTGTGAAAATCCGGCACCGTGCCTAAACACCATTCCTGGGGCTTCAGCGCCGCGAAGCAACGTTAGGGTTGCGTCCTGACGATCCAGAATGGTGCCGAAACACCGTTCTTGGGATTCCAGCACCGCTAATCAGGTTGATTGCCGTGCCCTGGCAGCCCTACATCGTGCTAAAACACCTTTTCTGCTACGTCAACCATGAAAATCTTCGAAGCTGCTGTCAACTCTGAAGGCTACTGAGCGCGGAGCTATGGCCAGAGCTACATTCAGAAAATGAGTCGCCCTCCATTCGTGAAAGTGTTGCATTTTTTGAAGCGGATGTGCGTGGCGCAAAGGGGAGAGCCACATTTTGAAAACGGCCCGTCCTGTACCCTGTTGCAAATGTTTGAAATGCATGCGCAACGCGCTTAGGCGAGGACCACATTTTGAAAACCACCCGCCCTCCACCCGTGAAACTGTTGCACAATTTCAATATTTAGATTCATAAGTGGTGAGGAAGTCTCAGGCGGAACGCCTGGCCCGCGCTACCGACACGTCTCGGAGTGTGACAGGGAAGAGCGGTCTATAAGGAGAAGGATCGACAGGTGATGAGGAGGAGGAGGAGGAGGAGGAGGAGGAGGAGGAGGAGGAGGCGCAAGAGGAAACGGGGGAGTGGGAAAGAGGGAGAGAGAGAGAGAGAGAGAGACAGAGCAACACATCGCGCTGGTCTGCCACTGTGGGTGTGCTTTCGCTCGAGAGGCGCGAGCGGCCCAGGAGGTCCATCGTGTAGCAGCGGCCGCATCCCGCCGAAGCCTCGTAGGAGGCGTGGCGCACCCCCTGTCGCTCCCCCAGGCCCTGCGGGGCGCTTGGGATGCCTCGCGCGAGCCCTGACCTGGGGCTGATGCAGAGCTCCTCCAGCGTGGCGCGAACGATTCTCCCCGCGCGGTTTTCTCGCCGCAGTCCTGGGGCAGCCTCTCCGCATCATGGCTCCGGTGGCGCTGGGGATGGGCTTGTTTTCCACCACCACCACCACCATGAGTTGGAGGGGAAAGGAGGAGGAGGAGGAGGAGGAGGAGGAGGAGGAGGAGGAGGAAGAGGAGGAGGAGGAGGAGGAGGAGGAGGAGGGAGGAGGAGGAGGAGGAGGGAGAGAGGAGGAGGAGAAGGAGGAGGAGGAGGAGGAGGAGGAGGAGGCGGAGGAGGCGGAGGAGGAGGCGAAGGAGGAGGAGCAGGACCCCCTCCCCCCTCCAACTTATGGTGGTGGTGGTGGTGGGAAAGAGGCCCGTCACGGGTGGACCGCAGCGTGGCCGTGAGGGTGAGCTTCTCGCCCCGGCCCCGCGGAGGCCGGGCGGCCGCGCGCGGAGGCCGTGGCTCGCTCGCGCGTGGCGTGGGGGGGGCGGAGGCGGTGGCCCTGCGGGGCGGAGGTGGCGGGCCGCGCGGCAGGGCGCGGTCGGCCCGCCCCGTCCCGCAGCGGCGTGCGGTGGAGCCCCGTTTATCTAGGCCTCCTAGATGGGGTCGGAGTAGATGGGGTCGGAGGATCGCGCCGCATCGCCGATGCATCGACGATGCGGCTCGATGCGGAGCCCGATTTTCTCCACGCCGACGTCGCGGATGCATCGCCGATATATCGCCGATGTATCGCCGATGCGGCGCGATCCTCCGACCACATCTACTCCGACCCCATTTAGAAGGCCTCTAGTTTAGGGTTAGGTCGGGCCTGTGCCTCTACCGGAGGAATATTGTTCAAGAGTAATCCAAAAATCGTCAGGGGACGACGGTTTTTGACCATTCCTGTCTATGTTTGAATCTGTGTTGACAGTTGTTTCTTTCTTGTCCAACATCTTCCTGTATGAGGACACGCCCGACCTAAGTGTAGGGGAGCGAACAGTGACATAAACATAAAAACCTCGGATAAGTCCGCGCGAGCTGCTCGGATCCGCGCGGACCTCCGAGTTTTTAATGTTTTTACCACTGTCCGATCTCCTACTGTGGGTGGGGGGACCCTCGCGCCTCGCTTCGCCACCCGTCCCCGTGTCGTCGCATGTTCTGCGCCTCATCGTCCTCTCTCCTCGTCGGCATTCACACGGCCGCCTGGCCACGAGGGTGACCATCATGGGCAGCGACATTATCGTGGCCTGCCGCCCTGATCATCATCGTCATCGTCACCACCGCCGTCCTCGTTGCATACACATGGCGGCCGGGCGCCCCTGACCATGGCCATCGACAGCGTCCGCCTGGGCATCACCGCTGGCCGTGGCCGCCATCAGCACCGAGCTCAGGATCTCGCGGTCACGCTCGGCGCTGCTCCCGCGGCCGCGGGCGCCATGGCTCCCCTCCGCGGCACCGCGCTGCCGGCCTGCGCGGCCATCTCCCTCGGGCTCTGCCTCCTGCCGGGCGCCTTCGTGGCGCCCGCGCCCTCGGCGCGCCCGGCCGCCTCGGCGGCCACCGCGCGGGGGCGGGTGGCGCGCGCCGCGCGCGGCGGCGGCGAGTACGACGTCAGCGACGCCGACATCCAGGCGTTCTACGACGAGACCATCTCGGGCAGCGGCGGCGACCCCCCGAAGGGCACGATCGCGGCGGAGCTCATCGTCAAGCACTTCCACGGGGTGTGGGACGAGAGGGGCACGTTCACCCGCTACAGCGGCCAGTGGAAGGGCCCGCCCCCTGGGGGGATCGGCAAGAGGGACATTGCCGTCGGCATCGCGGGCCTCAAGGAGCAGATGAAGCTGGGCAAGCACGTCGTCAAGGGTGGCCCCGGGAGCGACGAGACTCAGAAGGCGGGGCCGATTGCCTTTATTGCCCTCTTAGCCGATGGAGGTGAAGGAGGGGGGAACGAGAGGGGTAGGAGGGGGGACGGGAATGAGGGGGGAGGAGAGGGCGGCCTCTCCGTCCCGCTCCTGCTCCTGCGCCCCACCGTCCTCGTCGTCGTCCTTGTCCTCCTCCTCCTCGTTCTCCTGCTGCCTCGTGATGCTGGCGGGGATGATTCCAACTGGCGTTCCTCGTATGTTACTTTCTGCCTTCCGGTTATTTTCCGCGCGTGGTTGCCCCGAGCTGACTCGTCAAGACGTGCCACGGCTCGCTCAGGTTGTCAGGGTCGCCATTCGCCTTCGGCTGCTGACTCCCCATGTATGTTTTCGGGCTCACCGGTAAGCTCTGAGGCGCATCGGAGGAGAACTTGTTGCGCCTCCAGACCACGCTCCACCTCCTCATCCTCCTCATCCTCCTCCTCCTCCTCCTGCCTCCCCTGAAGTCCGACGCTGTGAAAGAGTTGCAGCATCACCAAACGTTGCGATCAGAGCCCCAGACCCCGTACTTCTGTGCAGCTCTTTTCGAGCTGGTTCGATCCGTGACAGTCCCGTGGCCTGAAGCCAGGGAACACGTCCAGTGTGAGCAACAAGAGCAACGCCGGGATCTCGGGGTCCTCCTCGGCTGCTCCTCGAAGGGAGGGGGAGGGCCCCCCGTAAAACGACACGACGATCGGGACAAAATCGGATCGGGATAACTCGAGATCTCTGAGAGTCGGCGGGTTTGGAGGATGTATCGGGCGCCGCGGCCGCTCCAGAGCGTTCCGGAACGCTCTGAGAGCGCTCCGGAACGCTCTGGAGCGATTTATCCCGATCCTAGCCCTGTTTTACCCCGAGAGGGCAGCAACTGAACTCGGCAAGGAAACACTCGGCCAGGCGACACTCGACCAGGCCGAACTCGGCCAGGCGGAATTCGGCCGGCTGGCCTCGGCCAGGCGGGACTCGGCCGAGCGGAGTTCGGCCTCTCGGCCGAGCGCAGCCTGGCCGAGTTCAGCTCGCCGAAGCTCGTCGGGCCGAGCTTCTCCTGGCCGAGTCTTTCCCTTGTCAAGAGAGAGAGAGAGAGAGAGAGAGATATATATATATATATATATATATATATACAGATCGGGGGAGCGTAAGACCCGGGTTTGCCAGGACTCGGGTTCGCCATCGTTTTCTGACGACCGCGCCTTGGATTTTGACGAGGAGGCGTTTCGTGGGATGTCTGCAGTGGGAGGCCTCGTCAAAATGCAGGCTCGGCCTCGTCATTTTTTTGACGATCTCGTCGGGGATTTCCGAGTCCCCTGTACCCAGGTCTTACGTCCCCCTGAACAGAGAGAGGTGATTGACGACGGGAAGGGTTGGGTCTGGCTGGCCGCGGACATGAGCCCTGGCGGCCTGGCGGTGCAGCTGTACACCTCTGTGCCGTATGGCAAGCGCCCGCTACTGGTCGCCAAGCGCTCCGAGGTGGACACTATGTTCGAGAAGGTCTTCAGCCGAGGAGGAGGAGGAGGAGGAGGAGGAGGAGGAGGAGGAGGAGTGAGAAGAAGAAGAAGAAGAAGAAGAAGAAGAAGAATAATCAGAAAAAGAAGAAGAAGAAGAAGAAGAGAAAGAGAGGAGGAGGAAGAGGAGGAGGAGGAGGAGGAGGAGGAGGAGGAGGAGGAGGTGGAAGAGAATAGGAAGAGGAGGAGGGGGAGGAGGAGTGGGAGGAGGAGGAAGAGGAAGAGGAGGGGGAGGAGGAGGCGGAGGAGGAGGAGGAGGCGGAGGAGGAGGAGGAGGAGGAGGAGGAGGAGGAGGAGGAACGCAAGATCGAAGCGGGGGAGGGGGGAAGTTTTCGTTGGCTCTTGGAGGTCTTCTTGCCTCGGGATGCCTTCCCGCAGCTGCGCCTCGTCGAGAGGGTACTGGGGGGTCCCGGATTGCCCCGAACGGCCGCCGGAGGCCCAAGTTATGGCCCGAAAGCCAACAGGTGTCGAAGAGGGGGAGGATTTCCGCGGAGGAGGAAGAGGATCGGAGGAGGCCAAGATACCGCTCCCTCTCGTTCTCGCTGATCTTCCCCATCCCAGGGGTCCCCCCTATGGCTAGATTCGCCATAGGATTCTGTTCGGAACGCACCTCGGGAGAGGTCTGGGCAGCAGCGGTATCCGTGCTTTTTGGTTTCCCCAGATGATGATGCTGATGATGATGATGCTGATGATGATGACGATGATGATGATGACGATGATGGTGATGACGATGATGATGATGATGATGATGATGATGACGATGATGATGATGATGATGATGCTGATGACGACGCTGATGATGATGCTTATGACGATGATCACGCTGCTGCTGCTGATGCTGCTGATGCTGATGATAATGATGATGCTGAGGCTGCTGATGATGATGTTGATGATGCTGATGACGATGATGATGACGATGACGATTCTGGTGATGGTGATGATGATGACGACGATGACGATGACGATGCTGATGATGGTGGTGATTATGATGGTCATGATGATGATTATGCGCTGATGCTAATGCTGCTGCTGATGATGATGTTGATGACTATGATGACTAGGATGATGATGATGATGATGATGGTGGTGATGCTGATGATGCTATTGATGGTGATGGTGGTGGCGATGGTGATGGTGATGATGATTTTGATGATGAGGATGACGATGACGATGATGCTGATGCTGATAATGATGATGATGATGCTGATGATGATGATGATGATGATGATGATGACGATGCTGATGGTGCTGATGATAATGATGCTGTTACTGCTGCTGCTACTGATGTTGATGATGCTTGTTGAGGTGGTGGTGATGATGGTGGGGGTGATGGTGCTGCTGTTGTCGATGATGCTGCTGATGATGATGTTGCTGTTGATGATGAGGAGGCAGGGGGGACCAGCATAATGATGATGCTGATGTTGAGTATGGTGATGATGCTTACGATGCTTATGATGATGGTGATGATGATGATGATGATGATGATGATGATGATGATGATGATGATGATGATGATGATGATGATGATGATGATGATGATGATGATGATGACGATGACGATGACGATGATGATGACGATGATGATGACGATGATGATGATGATGATGATGACGATGATGATGATGATGATGATGATGATGATGATGATGATGATGATGATGATGATGATGATGATGATGATGATGATGATGATGATGATGATGACGATCATGACGATCATGATGATGATGCTGCTGCTGATGTTGATGATGATGAGGAGGAGGAGGGGAGGATTAGGAGTAGGAGTAGGAGTAGGAGTAGGAGTAGGAGTAGGAGTAGGAGGAGGAGGAGGAGGAGGAGGAGGAGGAGGAGGAGGAGGAGGAGGAGGGGGAGGATGAGCCGTTGGGAGCGTGGCCTCCCCCGCCGGGCCATCGACACAGGGGCGGGGGGTCACGCAGTTTGCGACAGGCTAAGCGCGCCAACCTCCAGAGGGGAGGTACGCGCCGTCCTGCTAAATCTTGGCATGCTGACCCATTCTCTGTTCGTTTCGCTGCTCGGGCGCAGCGGCGCCGCAGTCGCCGCCCTCTCAGGTGGGCAGGCCGCGCGCACGAGACCGCATCCAGCATGTACTCTTTCTTTCTCGACTCGTTCTTTCTTTCTGTCTGTCTTGCTCTCCCTCGCATCTTCACTCTCTCGCCCCGCACATCTGTTTTCCCCCTCCTCGCTTCCCTTCCCCTCCCCCCTGTTGTGGGGCGGGCGCGGGTGTGCGGTGGGTTCAGCAGCTCCTCCCCCCTCGCGCCACACCTCGCGGAGCGCCCGGGCCCGCGCCCGGCTCCACACGGCCAAGCTGACTGGAAGGAGGACGAAGATGCTGGCGGCTTGGACTCGGTAGCGGAAGCTGAGGAGTTCCTTTCGTCTTGACTCTCGATGAGGGCAGCCTGCCACGAGCAGACCGCGCAGCCTTCTCGGGTACGCACATCTCGCAGCAAGACTGTCGAAGAAGGCAGTACTAGCCACCCAGCCGGAGCGACTGAGCCGGCGAGGGCGGCCGAGTGCAAGACCGTCTACAAGGCAACGGCAAACCGCCCAGCCAGTAATCTTTCAGTGCCTGCACCCTCGCCCTCCTTAGGAATCCTCAGGATTCCTCAGGAATTCTTAGGAATCCCTAGGAATCCCTAGGAATCAGGATTCCTAAGTATTCCTAAGGTTTCCTAAGGATTTCTATGGATTCCTGAGGATGCCTAAGGAGGCCTTAGGAATCCCTCGGAATCCTTAGGGTTCCATTGGATCCTAAGGCCGTTGCCACTGCGACTCTCATTGCGAATGCGACTGCGACTGCGAGAACAGCAGAATTCTACAATTGGATTCTCACCTGAATCTTAAGGGGAATGCTTCCAGATATGCTTATACACATCGCTGTTAGGTTGCTTTGCCGGGATAATTCCCGCTTGCGTTCTGTCCGAGGCATTTGATCAGCCTAGTTTTCCTTTTCTTCCGGTCCCGTCGGTGCGCGGTGTTGATCTGTTGGGAAGGAATCGTCGGACTTGGGTTGTTGAGGGGGAGGAGGAGGAGGAGGAGGAGGAGGAGGAGGAGGAGGAGGAGGCTGAGGAGGAGGAGGAGGAGGAGATTTGGGAGGAGGATCACAAGGAGGACAAGGGGGAATGTGGCAAGGGTATTCGGCTGGGCGAACGCGGGAGTGGGACAATAAACGGGGGGCGACAGGTGAATTGGGATCTTATGGACAAGCGCATTGACACCACCATGGGCGGGCCCCAGGTGAAGCAGCGGTGATGCGCAGTCGCCCAGGGGCGACCAGAACCATCCAGCTCTGCGGGTTTCCCTGGCGGAAGCCCACATCCTGCAGAGCTCGAGGAGTAGAGTTTCGATGGTATCGCCGCTCGGTTTGAGATTCCATGCGCTGGATTATTGTTTGGCGGCTGCGCTGTGCCCGTGCCTCGCCGCGCCGATTTTCGGGCAGTAGCGATCAGCAAAAGTGTACCCGATCGTCGTCGTCTTCATCTTCGTCGTCTTCTTCACTATCACCTCGATGGGGGGAGGGGACGAGACGCAGGGGCGAGGAGGGGGTTGCAGAGCCTTGGCGTGACATGAGAGGGCAAATGGGAGGGGGGAAGCAAGGCTTCCCTTCATTCAGGCCTCGGAACACTTCTAGCGAACACTCTTGCCATACTCATCTGTCAAATGCCCCATCCCCCCACCGATATGATCAACGGTGGTGGTGGCTCTGATGAGGTGCACTTCGACCGCAGTCTTCTCCGCGTGCTCGAGCTTTGAATCGTAGGGAAGGGGGAGGAACTTTGCATCTCCTGCGTCCTTCCATCCCTTTTCGAAGGTGGAGGACGCCGAGGAGACGGCTGGTCGCGGGTCTAACTGCTGTTCGGAACATGCCCTACGGCAGGTCGAGGGGTCGACCACTGTAGGGAGGAGGACGACGACGAGGACTTGGAGGAGGAGTAGGAAGAGAATACTGATAGTGAGATGGCGCAAGGGGAGGAGAAGGTAGGGAGGAGGAGGAGGAGTAGGAGGAGCAGGAGGAGTAGGAGGAGTAGGAGGAGGAGAAGGAGGAGGAGGAGGAGGAGGAGGCGGTGGAGGCGGAGGTAGGAGAGGAGCGGTGGAGGCGAGGCGGCATGAGGAACGCTGATGATGATGATGATGATGATGATGATGATGATAATGATGATGATATGATGATGATGATGATGATGATGATGATGCTAGATGCTGATGCTGATGATGATGATGATGAGTGATGATGATGAGATGCGTGATAATGATGATGATGATGATGATGATGATGATGATGATGAATGATGATATGATGATGCTGCTGCTGATGATGATGATGTGACGGATGATGATGATTATGATGATGATGATGGATATGATGATGATATGGCTGATGATGATGATGATATGATGATGATGATGATGATGATGATGATAGGAGGAGGAGAGGGAGGGTATGAGGAGGAGGAGGAGGAGAGGAGAAGGAAGGGGAGAAGGAGGGGGGAGAATGAGGAGGGAAGGGGAGGAGGAGTAGGAGAGGAGGAGGAGGAGAGGAGAGGACCGAGGGGGGAGGAGGATGAGGAGGATGATGAGGAGGAGGGAGGAGAGGAGGAGGATGAAGAGGAGTAGGAGGAGGAGGAGGAGGAGGTAAGGTTCCCCTCCATCTGCCATGCTGGAGCCCGCAGGCCCTATAAGCACTGGTGGCTCACGCGTCCGCGGGGTGCCTGGGGTGGACCCGGCCACCCCAGGACTCCCGACCGTTGCCTCGAAGCAGTCGAGGAGGAGGAGGAGGAGGAGGAGGAGGAGGGGATGAGGAGAGGAGGAGGAGCGCGAGAGGAGAGGATAGGAGGATGAGGCGGGGGAGGGAGGAGGAAGTAGGAGGAGAGGAGGAGGAGCGGAGGGAGGAGGAGGAGAGTAGGAGGAGGAGAGGAGAGAGGAGGAGGAGGAGGAGGAGGGAGGGGGAGCGAGGGGAGGGTGGAGGAGGATTGGATGGTAGAGAGTCAGTTCCTCCTGCCTCTGCTCCTGCGCTCGCCCGAGGCACGAGCGCAGGAGGCGCGCCGGGACGCGGGAGTCGCGCTCCGCGCCCTGCGGCCTGGGCCGGGGAGGTGCGCTGCTCCCGGGGCCCGCGCAGGGGGCGCGACGAGGGGCGGCCGCCCGCCGCGCCCCCGCGCGGCGCGAGGCCCTCGGGAGCGTCTCGGCCCAGGTCCTGCGCAGCCCCGTCGGTCGCTGGCTGCCGCTGTGCAGGTCTGGGCCCGTCGCCGCGGGCGGCTCTGCCCGGGAGCCTGGCCGGGCAGGCCGTGTCTGAGCACCCCCGTCCGGCCAAGCTCCACCCGACCCATTCCTCTCGAGCGTCTCGGGGAATCTCCTTCTGCGAGCAATTGTGGGACTGTTGGTGTGCGGCATCCCGTGAGCCTT